GGAAGGAGAGGGGGGTTGAAGGTTGAGTCAGTCAACAATGGCCAATGATGTAATCAATCATGCCTGTATAACGAAGTCTCCATAAAAACCCAAAAGGACAGGGTTTGGAAGAGCTTCTAGATAGCCGAAAATGTGATTTCCTGGAGGGTGGTGCACCCAAGAGAGGGCATGGAAACTCCTCACTCCTTCCCATATGCCTTGCCTTGTGCATCTCTTCCATTTGGTTGTTCATCTGTATCCTTTGTAATATCTTTTATTATAAGCCAGTAAATATTAAGTGTTTCCCTGAGTTCTGTGAGCCACTATAACAAATTAACCAAACCCAAGGAGGAGGTTGTGGGAACCCCATTTATAGCCCATTGGTCAGAAGCACAGGTAAAGCCATCTGGGGGCTTGTAAATGGCTTCTGAAGTGAGGGGCAGTCTTGAGGGACTGAGCTCTCAACCTGTGGGATCTGAGACTACCTCCAGGTAGATGATCTCAGAGTTGAATCAAATGAGAGAACACTCAGCTAGTGTCTGCTGTAGAATCTGTAGGATTACTTCATGAGGAGAAATCCCCACACATTTTGGTGACCAGAAGTCACAGAAGTATTCTGCATTATGAGAATATAGTAGGAAAGGCTGAGTTTGTTTTTTACCTTTATCCTCAGAGAATCAAATGACAATGGTTAAACACACAAATCAAGAATCAATTTTCTTAGAGGCATGGGGTCATTTGCACAGTAAATCGAAATAGCCTTTCCTGGCTCTTCATCTCAAAATGCCAACAGTTCCTAAAACTAGAGTCCATTCCTACATCATTGTGCATGAGGTAGCAACTGAAAAAAGAATTGGTTTAAGAAATTCACACAAGATTTAATAACCTTGAAAATAATCACTTTTCCTATTGTTTATCTAATGTACAATACAGTTTGTTACATAAAGTATTTGCAAGCCTATATATGTAGAAACACTAGATTTCACTTAAAACTACATAATTCAAATCCTTACACTAGTTTATTAGAAATTTGAAAATGGTAGACAGTTTAAGGTCTACTTGGAATCCTAAAACTATCAAACAATTCAAACATAAGAAAATTAGCCCTAATAAAAATAATACGACTTCTATCTAAGAAAACACATCAGAAAGTAAATTATAAATGTAAATGGTGGTAGTGAGAGGCAGAGGAAACAACACCCTTGCCTGGATATGAAAAATTTTTTATCTTGCTCCCAGCTAACCCAACTTTACTCCTTCATTCATTGAAACATTTCCTGAACACCTAGCAGAGATTAAAATAATCATAACACAGTACTCCAGAAATTCACAATCTTCTGAACTGGAATGTGACCTTTAGAAAGTTACTAGAGCACTCCTTGTTTCTTTCTGTCTAAATATGAATAGTAATGTCTGTCCTCATTTCACAAGTGAGGCTCAAAAGGGATGAGAAAGCATCATAACATGTTTAAGTGACATATAAAGGTAAAATATGGATTGGGGTTTTTGATTCAGCAAAACAACGTAATACTGGTTTTCTCACCAAGCAAATAAAGAAACTTATTTCATACATGCCCACCATCTAATCTACCACTTTAGACGTTCATTCATGCCAGATATACCTAAGATACTACAAAAGGTCTATCAAATAAATGATTTCAGACCCTAGGCTTCATTATCCCCATAAGATCATGTTGCAGAAATAAGAGGCAGAGCATACCTGCATTATAGTTTTCACTAATGATAAATGTAAACAAAACTTGTGTCTACTTCATGACACTGAAATAGATACAAATGTATCAGAAGATTATTTGAAAAGTGATAACCACCTCCTTTCTTAGATTACATTGTTTCCAACAGATCAAAAATATTTCCCAATCAGTGCCAAATCTTAAGATTCCTCCCAAAAAAACATTTATACTGAGGCAGGAGGATCACTTGAGCCCAGGAGTTTGAGGTTGCAGTGAGCTACGATGATGCCACTGCACTCTACCTGAGGTGACAGCAAGACTTTGTCTCAAAAAAAAAAAAATTTATATGCTAGATGCAAAAAATAAACTAAATCACTAATAGATCTGTACCACAATATGAAAACAATTAATTACGCTGCTATTGAGTTTTCATACATAAAGCTTTTATTGTATAAAAATGTAATCATAAAACATACTGTGCCTGAGTAATTTTCAAAAC